GCCCGCCCGCGTGCGAAAGTACGGTCAGCGTTTGGGATTTTTTCAACTCGCCGCCGGAAGCGGCCTTGAATGTCAATCCGGACTACGACCCGTCGTCGGATGAGCGGCTGCAAGGAACAAGCCAACCTGGTTCCTCCCGCGACGTTGAGAATGGCATCCAGCTCGAGCATGGATGAAGCTCAGCCTCTTCTGCCGGCCGGGTATCATCGTAAGTCTGCAACCGTGTGCGTGCACACTCACCCCGCTTGTCCAATCTTGACCCCGTTTCTAGGCGATCTCATATCTCTGACGGCGTAAAGACCGAACAGCTGAGAGGACTGCATGCAAAAGACCCCAAAGGAGAAGGCCGATAAGAAACTACAGGCAGAACTCAGCGAGGAGAAAAGGGCTGAGAAGGCGCGGTACGTGTCCTCACTGTTTCAGATGGATGCGAGGCTAAGTTAGTGTTGTGCTTGGCCAGACGGCGCGAGATCACGCTCGAACGCAAGAAAGCTGCTGAGAAGCGCCGCAGGCTCGAGGAAGAGAAGGCCAAGGTCAGTCATTGACTGATTGCCATGTTCCTTCGCTGACAGGGTTCGGTGTTAAAGATGGGCGCTCGGAAAGCTGCCCGACTGCGTCGTAAGGCGGGTCGGACCAAGAAGATCAGGCATTGATGATGACTTGGGAATGCAGAGGATACGAGGAAAGTGTGGATTGGAAAGGTGCGTTCTTCTAAGTAACGCACTTGTACGTTGTACGGTTGACCTGAGGCTGCGATCCGCCATTAGGTTCCGATCATGCTGTGCTTCTCCTTCTGCATCCTCTACGAGCTAAGCGACGAGGGATTGTACGACCTGAATAAATGCTTCTTCGACTCGAGAGGATACCAGCAAGTCCGGTGGGAGGAGGCGCCTTGTCGACTCGTCTATCCGCTTGGTACTCTAAGCTGATGTATACGTGTGATCTTGCAGCTCGTGCTCGTCTGACAGTGGCTGTATGACAATGACCCGCGGGACAAACAGGTGGAGCTGATTTTGCTGATGACGGCGCCGCGTGCAAGGGGATTCTCATGGAAGGACGACTTTGACGTGCATAACGGGACGTTTCCAAGAGTCGCGGTCACCGCGGAGAACGACGGCATGCTCAAGTGAGCATCTTCACAATGGTGAGGCTGAATTTATGTCTGGACTGACGATGCGCTGGTTGCAGTCACGGAGTCAGCGTTGGGGAATGTGAGGATGCTAGCTGTGTGGATGGGTGCTAATGTACCGTTTCAGCCGTCAAATCGGAGGCACTTACGTGGCGTATGCAGGAGAGCAGAGTGACATCGATAGTACGTAGGAGACCGCCGACATTGTGGCGTCCTATGTCAACACTGAACTGGAATATTCCTCGTAGCTATGCTGATGTAGACATGATTTGGAAGTATACATTGAGAAAGACAGTTTACGCGCCACGCTGACAATCCTTCCGACATGCCAGAGCCCAGGGAACCTGCAGGACTTTCACGAGTATGGGGTGAATCTGATTGCCGTAAGTATCAGTACGGTTCTCACACAAGTCGCATGACTGCATCAGACCTTCCAGATTGCCTTCGATGATACGTTGAAATAATCTCCCAGTCAAGACCAGTCTTGCACTATGGAATCAACGCCCATGAACTTTGGCATTTCACGCCAGTACTCCTCCTGCAGCCTGGCGATACCGCGCTGCACGTGCACTACACATTCATCACAGAAACCGCTCTCTCCAGACCTCCGCGCATGAATGTCTTCATGGATAAGTGTGAGAGTGTCAATGATGTGAAGTGATGCCAATGACGCTTCCGGGGTATGCTTTTCTCTCAACCTGCAACAAGCGTTAACAATCAAGACACTCAACATAAAACTTGAACATACTGGTCTAATTCACGCGTGCATAGCGGTGCAGTCCCACACGTGGGACTGATGTCCTTCAGCGATATCGCGCATACATCTTCGGCCTTGAATGCTAAACGAACCCGGCTAGAGGAGATGATCCCAATATATTTTGCATACGATTCCTTCATGAGATGATCGTGCCATGAACATCTCGCAAGCTCGAATGCGTCAAGACTGCAGCAGCGATAGAGTGCCGTAGGAAGAATAGACATGGTGTCAGTCATATGAGCAACTTTGATTGCTGTGACAATATCGTCGGGCTTCAGCACAAGTGAAGGACTTTCGTCATTGACGAAAGCTTTCCACTCGTCCAGCGTCTTTGGGAACCAAGTGCAGATCTTCTTGAGAAGACCATCGATGAGATCTTGAATTTTGAAGTAGTAAGCGAGTCGGAGGACTGAGGCAATGGTAGCGAAGTCCTTTGGCTCTGTTGACCGTGTCCTAGAGCAGATTGAAGTCAGTGCCTTCAGAATTAACTTGAAACGCAATGAGCATACATATCCATGCTATAGACAGCTCCGAGAAAGCGACGAATATCATCTGCCTCGATGTCCAAATGGAGGACTACGCACTCTTCCAGCAGGTGACTTGAACTGAGTGTATATCCTTCCCTATCTTCCCCTGATGGAACAGGGCTCATACCGTCATCTTCATCAACACTCTCATCTTCAACTATCTCCATAGGAGCTGTGCCGTCAGCAGTCAAACGGACCACTGCGTCTGCAAGTTCTGGGTTCCAACGAGCAATGTCATCTTGATGGATACGAAATCCTAAGCCTTGCGAGACTACGATGAGCTTGCCGTCGGGAAGGTTGAACTTGTCATCAAACTTGAGTTGTGGTGGTTGCATGGTACTCAGTCCCCCACCAGAACACATCGAGAAGTCAGGACGTGGAAGAATTGGACAGAATCAGCTGGCTGTGCGCGTGTGGTATGCAGCGAACGTAGCGTGCGCGTATGGATCGAAGCCGCACCGCGCGTGCACGTGCCGCTCGTGATCAACGCGCTGCGCCAACGCTGCGCCAGCGGAAAGCCTCCCTGCATCCTCATTCCGTTTTTCCGTTCATTCTCCTGCTTTTAAGCACTCGTCCTCGGCATATTCAACTGCTCAATCCCATCAAGTAGACGCCCGCTGCAGGAATGCTCTTCGCGTAGAAGATCGAGGAACATCTTCCATTGCCCGGTGCGTCCTTGAGGTTTTCGCGATGCTGTGCCCAGCTGACACGTCTTATACTCCTGCGCAGGCCTACAGCGATGGTGCACGCTCATGAACTATGCTCATCTCTACAAAATGCCTTCCGTGTGCGGCAGCAACGCATAGCAGTTCCGCACACCACAGCCATCCTCCGGAACGGCTTCATAACCTCTATGTACCGTGGAACAGTAGGTGAGCCTGATCCGCTTGAGTTTCTCGACGCTGGAGTGGCGCAGCGGCGGATTTGGGTGGACCTGAAGTACCGCGAGGAACGGCCGGTCTTGAACGCCATGGAGCTCGTCAGCAAGCCGAGCAAGGCGGTTCTCATGGACTTGGATGCTCTGCGGCTGATATGTTCGGGGAGGAGAACGCAGGGCGTGAAGCCGCTACGGATGGGCGAGATTGCGATCGTACGGACGAAGAACCAGGAGCATGAGTGGGTGGAAGCGAGGGAGGCGCTGCAACTAAACCTTGGGGGAGAGATCATTTGCCGGGCACGGTAGTCATGTTGGATCTCATTGTGAGTCCTTTTACTATCACACATCGGGCAAACACGCTCATCCAATAACTATCACCTCGTTGTTCAGCCGTTTTTTCCTTGGGGAGCCCTATATACCTTTTCATGGTACATGAGGCACGGCCATCTATCGTTAAGCGGTCTCGTCATATTCAATGCTGCACTTGAATCGGGCTGGGTTGTATAACTCCGGGATATACAGTTGACTCAGGAAGGGAAAATTACGACCCAAAGTCTCCACCATCAGCATGAGCATCCACTGGCACGAAATTTGCACTCAGCGCACGAAATGCATTATACGTTTGACACTTAATACTACATACTAGGCGCTAGGTAGCAACTTGCGCAAGACTTCATCTACGTCGACGTCTCCGTGGACTGGCCAGTCGCTCTCCCTGATCATCTCGTTCTCCGCCAGCAAGGCCCAGTTCGGCGAGGGCGTGGGCCGGATATGAGAGAAATCTGGCTTGGAAAGGTTGTTGCCCATCGGATTCTGTAATTCGGTCAGCGTGGCTATTGAGGTCACAGTGGCTGAGCGAACGGACATACAGTGTCAGACGACCGCAGAGGAGCAGGGTATAGTGCAAACCTGATGTTGGTGGAATGCTCTATGATTGGTTTGGAAGACACCGCAATGTAGACGTCGGTCTGTGATGATGTATGCATGCGATACTATCACAACGTTGTACTGTTTGACGGAAAGCATGGACAGCAATAACGAACCTGATGACATCTAAGAACTATGATACATCTCGAGAGATCGTGTAAAAGTGCACTGCCTTCGATCTGAGGTAGAAGAAGGATGCAATTGCGCACATTCCGGGCATGGAGAACGGTGATCTTGAGGTTGCTTTGAAGGTCTGCTGAGGTTGAAGGAAGGAGGTTGACAACGCAGTGAGCGAGGTCAGATATTGCGAGATCGGATGCGTCGACCGCCGTGGAGGCAAGAAATGAGGAACAAGTGAGGTATTCGTGCGAATGGCCTGAGAGGCTGAGACTTGTTGAAGGGAGACCAGCGGGAGAGCTCGTGTTGCTTGACAGTAGCACATTAGGAACTTGCTCTTGAGTAGAGTTTGAGGGTACGGGCGAGATAGATGGCTTGTTCACTTTGCGTTTAGAAGTGAACTCTGGTTTCGGTGCTAATGCGGTTCGGAGCTTCTGCAGAGACTCTTCAAGCTCCTTCAATTTCTGTGAAAATAGAACATTGAGTAGGCACGTTTATCCCCGGAATATGTACGTACAATATCACACTGCCTCTGATCACAGCTGGGCAAGAAGCTAGTAGCATGCGTCAATTCCTTCCTCAGCTTTGCGATGTCCAAGGACAGCTGATCCAGGGCCTCAGGTGCGCATCTATTCAAAGTGTAAGACTCGAGGCGATTTCCGAGTTCTATCGCAGCACCTGCTGCGATGCGATAGAGACTGCAGCAGACCAGAATGTGCAGCCTGGAAGTAGGCGTAGAATGCTTGAGTGAGGTTCTGATTCATCTAGGACATTGGAAGCACCAGTAAAGATGTCTGCGTTCAAACAAGAGGGTCGTGGGCGGTCCTCAGGACAATTCACGAAAAGCGGTATGCCGAGTTCTTGACTGCAGCAGTAGCTGTGACAAGCGCTCGTCGCACAGGTGTCCTTGCACACGACCCGCGCTTTCGTCGCTTGCTAACCTCGCCATCCACGCCTCCTCCGTTCATCCTCCTCGCTCATTTGCAACGATCTGCCATGGCCGATATGGACGTCGACGTTGAAAATCTTGCGGTTGCTACCGGAAAGGAGAGGGAGGAGAAGAAGCGTTTTGAGGTGAAGAAGGTACGATTGGGATCAGCCATCATGCCCGAGGCTTGGTGAGGTTCGCTGACACGCCCTCTTTGTGTTGCCGTGGTTTTCGACGACAGTGGAACGCTGTCGCGCTTTGGGCATAGGGTACGTTTATTGGTTTAACTGTAGATTCGGTCGCCAATAGTTGTGTAGACATCGTGGTGGACAACTGCGCCATCTGCAGGAACCACATCATGGATCTTTGTGCGTCATGATTAAACTACAGACAAGCCGCGTATTCTGATTCTGAGGCTTAGGTCTTGACTGTCAAGCAAACCAGGTGTCGGCCACCAGCCAGGAGTGCAACGCTGCGTGGGGTATCTGCAACGTACGTATCCAATTGTCGTCCGTCATGCTGATCTTACAGTAGACGCTGATAACATGCTTGTCTCGTGTAGCATGCGTTCCACTTTCATTGCATCTCTCGTTGGCTGAAGACGAGAAATGTCTGTCCCTTGGACAACCGGAGTGGGAGTTGCAAAAGTAAGTGACGATCGCAAATCTCCGTACTCTCAATGTTGACATAGCTCCAGGTACGGCCGGTAGAAGGCGTGCGGTTAGTATTTCCAGTTTTCTATCATGTACACTAGAATCTTGTCGGTTGCGTGCACTGCCGGCATGGCCATTGTATGACATCGAGCGCGATCTGGTTCGCACATGCCTTGGCTGACTGATGAATGTGCTTGGCAACGAGTTTCCATTCGCATTATAGGATCATGCAGTTGTTCCGAGTGCGCTCTGCATTCG